ATCTTCGTCTTGATCCACTGTAAATCTCGTTACAGTCTTCCTTTCTTGAGGTTGCAGTTTCTCTTATAGATTGAAACTTGAGTCCTGACTTCATCAGGAGTTGTGATTTAGGAAAAGTTTAAATTACCACATTTTCCAGTTATAGTTGGTTGTCATTAATGACAAGTAGCTATGGTCTCTTAAGATCACCACCAACACTGAGTAAGCAAAATGTGAACCAACGCTGTTAAATTCCTATGAGCCTTTGGTCATGTTTTCATTAACTGATCAGTAATATTCGTGTCTAGCGCCTGTTTCTGTTTAAAGACACCCCCCGTTTGATATCTTTAAGTTGACTCATTATTTATTCACATTGAATTTATGGCAGACATCACAGTAATCTATGTCTGAGTCAAGTTACCTTACATGCATTTTCTTAGCAAGGCACATCTTATCCTTTTTGTGCTTAAAAGCCTTTGTACTTTCAACAGTGTGTTTGGGGGCCATTTCAAGTAGAAAAGTCAACAAAAGGTATAAAATGCAAAAACGTGCCATTTAATAGACAGCAGAAAGGACACGTGTTTACAGTATAACAAGCTGAAACAAGGAGGTACTGTCACCTTGTCAGATCTTAGCTGGGAATGTGAGTTTGGACACTAATTTTTTTTGGCCATTTTTCACCTATGAGAATTACTGTGATTTGAGAGCTACCAATACATTTTAGGGAATAGTCAAATTTTCAAATATATAATGAAGATCAAGTGTAATTCTTTTTCTTCTAAAATGTCCAAGTTTTAGGCGTTTAGATAATTTTTAAATTATTTTTTAAAAATCTGTAAATGGTTAGGTAGTTAATTTGATTTCTTGGTAGGTACAGCTAATCCCTTAGGGTTTCCTCTGATTTCAAAAACACTCAGATTCTTCCTGTCTCCTGGTATTTAGCAAAAATTATATATATATATATATATATACACACACACACACACATATATATACATATATATATATAATACATATTTATGGTAAATTTAGAAAGAAATCATTTATTAAAATAGGGTTCTTAATCTAGGCCGGGATAATTCTAGCCTTTCTCAAGTCACTAAGCTGCTTAGACGTGAACGAAGCGTTGGGGCTTAGCAAGGAGTACAGTCACACACCACTGTTTTGGCTAAGAGAGTGACATGCATGAGAGTGGTTCTGAAGATATGATGCTCAGTGATGCTGTAACCCTCTTAGTTGTGTAAGAATGCTACTCTGTGATGTTCACACAGGACATAAATCACTTCATGATGAATTTTTCAGAATATATCCCCATGTTTAAATAAAAGAAAAGGTAAGGTAACAACAGGAAAATGAGCAACAGATAAAAACAAGTGAGTCACTTTGGAAGAAACCAAGTATAGCCTGGGGATGTTGTGAGGGGCAGGGATAGTGGCGGTAGTAGAGGGTGCCCTGGATCTGACCCCTGTACCACAGTGAAGGGGGTGCGTACATCATGTGATTGCGTGTGCGGTTCGATGGGGAAGAAGTAGATGCAAAGTACCAAATGTCCTGTCGAAAGACTTTTGCTTGGGGCCGGGGATGTAGCTCAGTGGTTCTGGTGCCTGCCTCACAAGCTCAAGGTCCTGTGTTTGATCCCCGGTACCAAAAAAAAAAAAGACTTGCTCATTGTTCTTGCCCAGGTACAAGGAACCTCAGTTTCTTGGTTCCACCTGTAGAGATTCTCTTTTTCTGACGTTACTTTCCCCCCCTTTTAACAATTGTTTTGTTTTGCTTTGCTGTGTCTTTTGAGACTGGGTCCTGCTATATGGTTCAGGGCAGCCTTCAGTTTCTTCTGTAGCCCGGGCTGGCCTTGAACTTGCCATCCTACCTTAACCTCCTAAGTGCTGGAATTACAGGCATGTACTACTGTGCCAGCTGATCTTTAATTATGATTTCTTTTAACAAAAACATAAATAATTTTAATTTACAATTCTCTTATGGGCATCTTTCCACATCATTGTGTACAGCGCTATGTAACTACATTCTAAAGGAGAATGACTGTAGAATATTATATGAATGAATAATTGTGCCATTTTAATGGTTATTCATATTATCTCTAATTTCTCCCTCTACTAACAGTATGTACAATTGCATACTTAGCAAGTACTTTTATTGGGTAAATCCGTTAAGTGTGGAATTGCAATAGGCAAAGGATACTCAGATTTAAAATTTTACTAGATAAGGTATTATGAGTTTGGCTTCAAAATACAGTTATACCTTTCCCACAATGAATGTGTTTTTGCTTTAGCCTTGTTACTATTATATTTTAATCTTTTTACTTTGCTATTGCGTAGGTAGAAATAAATACAGTCAGCCCTCCATATCTTGGCTTTCTGCATCCCTACATTCAGCCAACTGAGGGTGAAAAATATTGGGGGAAATTATGTTTGTACTGAACATATATACAGACTTTTTTCTTCTAATACAGTGTAACAATTATTTACATTGTATTGAGTATTGTAAGTGTCCTAAGATTGTTTAGTGGGTATGATGTTTATAGGCTATATGCAGATACTCCTCCCTTTCATTGTGGTGTGAGGGTCAGACCCAGGGCAACCCTCATGCGTGTGAGGTAGGTGCTGTGTTGTTCCCTGCCCCGTAACATCCTCCACTAGACTATACTTTCTTTTTTCTTAGGTGACTTACCTCTTCTTATCTGTTCTTCATTTTCCCGTGTTTGATTATCTTATCTTTTATTTTCTTTCCTCCTTTGTAAAGCTTACATAAAAAGTTAAGAGAGAGAGGACATTGTCTTATTTATCATCCTATCACCACATCGTTGAAGAGATTCTGAAAATTTGATTCAGTTAATGTATGTCAATTCTGACTTTCACACAGTGTAGAAGTTTAAATTTTTAATAAACTCAGACTGACAAGTATCTTCATTTTTGGATCTTTTCTTAAATATTTTCTGTTAACTTTTCTGGGTATGTGTGTGTGTGTTTAGAAATGTTTTTCACCTCCCACACTCCCCTTACATGGTAGGAATGAACCCTCCCTTGATTCTTCCTTCTTCACCACATCTGATTTATTTATATATGAGTTTGTATCCTTACTTTTTCCCCTTTTCTAATTTCCTTTCCACCTTATCTTTGAATGGGAATGCAGATCTTCTGGCAAGATAGAATTAAGATTGCTCTGTGTAGGAAAACGAGATGTAGAAATTTGCAAATTTTAAAAGTGAGTCAGAGCACTGTAACACAAAACATGATAGGCACTCAATAAATAGTTTGTTGTAATATTAAATGCTTTACTCATATTAGACATCAAATTTATTCATATTGAATATCTGCTGTGTTTTCAATTTTTTTTTTTTTTTTTTCCCCAGTATCGGGGATCGAACTCGGGTCCTTGCACTTGCGGGGCAAGCAGTGGAACCACTGAGCTAAATCCCTGGCTCTACCCCTAAGCTTTTTGTGGATGGTCCTTATGAAGTGAAGAAGTTCTGTAACTGAGGAGCTTTTTTTAAAAAAAATTAGGCACGGTTGTAGTGTTTTGTCAAATTACTGTTAGATGGTTGTAATTTTCTTTTTCAGTCTGTTAAAATAAGTTTACATTGGGCTGGGGATTTAGCTCAGTGGTTCCACCGCCTGCCCTGCAGTAACAAGGTCCCAAGTTCAATCCCCATACCAAAAAAAAAAAGTTTACATTGATTTTGGAATATTCAGCAAACCTTGACTTTCTAGCATGAACTATACTTGTTCATTACCCTTTTAATATATTGATGAGAGAGAGAAAATCACACACACACACTGACTGGGGATGTCACCCTAACTGAGCACTTTTAAAATGTGCTTTTTGCTCCTGATTTTCACTATAAACCTGGTTAAAAGCCACCAGTAGTACTCATGCCACAGCCTGAACGTTGGACTGCTTTGAAATTTCCTCAACCACATTAATTAGTCCACTACCCTTAGTCACAGTCTCTCGCAAAGTCTCAGGACACAAGCAAAATGTACACAAATTTTCTGCCAGAACATACCACACATGGTCTCTGGTCCAGCTGCCATTGGAGTCCTTGTTCTCAGTTGAAAGATCCTGACCCTGACCAGAATCTCCGATTAAGCTTGGTTTATAGCATTCTAGAGCTTTTCTACCCGGCATCTCCAAACCTTTCCGAACTTGTTCCTCAAATCAGATCTGAAGGCTTCTAAACCATGTGGTCAGGTCGTCAGAGCAGTGACCCCACTCCTCCTGTTATCAAAATCTGTCTTAGTCACTTTTCTGGGGACAAAATGCCCAACACCCACATAAGGAAGAGAGGTTTGTTTTGCCTCACCTTTGTAAAAGTTTCAGGCCATGGGCAGGCTGAAATGTAGAAACAGCAGAGTGGAAGAACCTGCTGTGGAGGAAAGCTGCTCACATCTTGGCAGCAGGTAGGAAAGAGATAAGAGTGGAGCCTGGGGGCTGGGGATTTAGCTCAGTAGTTCTGCCTCCCCCCGTACCAAAAAAACCCAGCGTGGAGCCTGGGAGGGAGGGAGGGAGATCCTTCAAATTGCACCCTCAGTGTCCTGCCTCTTTTGGCCAGGCCCACCTCCTAACAGCTGCTCAGCTATGAATGTATCAGAGGATAGTCCCCTGGTGAGCACAGTGCCCCCATGGTCCATTCAGCTTTCAAACCCAGTTCTAAACCTTAACACACAATTGAATGTTGGACTTAATCACTACTATAAGGTATTCATACTTTACGTGGTACCTGAGGTCATTTTAAAGGATAAATTCTTTTCCGTACGCTCTTAAAGATACAGTCTAAGTACTGATACATTGCTTTAATCTGCAAAGAAGAGAGCTTATAACTTAATGATTGGCAGTAGATTGTTTTGGAATAGGTAAGATTTTCCCTGTGAACCTTTTCCCACAGTTTTGACTAATGATTTAAGTTGCTGATCAAAGCTTCTAAATCACGTTCAACCCACAGACCAAATTGTAGAGACCACTATGTAATTCTTCCTGTTTCTTTTGTTTTTTTTCTCTTACAGGAAAAGTAAGAAGCTTAAGCTCATCTTTATGGTCATTAACTCACTTGACAGCTTTGCATCTTAGTGACAATTTTCTGTCCCGCATTCCTTCAGACATTGCCAAGCTCCACAATCTGGTGTATCTGGACCTATCTTGTAATAAAATCCGTAGTTTACCGGCAGAACTCGGAAACATGGTTTCACTCAGGTATGTAGAGTCTACTTAGTGTATACCAAGTATATACCCCCTAAAACAAATACACCATTTGTTTTGTTAAGAAATAAGACAGTCCATTTGGTCATATTTAAAGAAAAGTAAACATTAAAAAAAAAGAAAAGTAAACAACGATATTCTTTTTTTTAAGGTTTTTTGGGAAGACCAAATGTCAACTAATTAATAATAAGTGGATACATGATTGAAAATTGTATTGATATGTTTTGTGTAACATACTTCTCTTTTTGGGCCAAAATTTTTAGACAAAGTGAGATAAGTAGCTATAAGGCACTTGTATTATCCCATATACTTATGACGGACAGTTGAGTGGACCATGTATCCATAATACTCAGTCCACAAAACTGTTGTCAGTTGGCGAAGACCTTTTTGCTAGCCCATGGCTTCTATGTGTGATAGGAGTAAAACCTAGACATGAAAGAAACTAGGATTTGTAGTATTTATTAAATTTAATATATTGTAGTTCAGTATAGAGGATTTTTGTTGTTGTTGTTGTTGTTTTTGGTACCAGGGATAGAACTCAGGTCCTTGCTCATGCGCAGCAGGCAGTGAAACCACTGAGCTAAATCCCCGGCCCAGTATATAGGATTTGATTGCACAGAGTTTGGGTTAGAATCCTGACTTCGCTGTTTGAATTTTTTTGTAATCTTGGGCAAGCTTCTCAGTCTGATGATAGGATACTGAGATAGTATCTAAAAAGCTACTAGCACTCTGCATTGCACATACTGTATTTTATTTTATTTATTTATTTATTTTTTTGGTACTGGGGATCGAACTCGGGTCCTTGCGCTTGCATAGCAGGCGACGAAACCACTGAGCTAAATCCCCGGCCCCACATACTGTATTTTAAAAAATGCTAATTGCTGGTTTTTATTACTTTTTTTTTTTTTTTTTTTTGGCACTGGGGATCAAACTCGGGTCCTTGTGCTTGTGAGGGAAGTGGCAGAACCACTGAGCTAAATCCCTGGCCCTATTACTTTTTAAGTAAGGTAGATAAGATCTACTTGAGATAAAAATAAAGCCAAATTCTAGCTATTATGTCAGTCCCAATTTACCTGCCTTTTATCCATAATTCTACCAGCTTGTTTGCCGCCTTCCAGGAAAAAGGAGTAAGGGCTTTGTGGGAGTTTCTTGGCCTGCGTTGCTAGCCTGTTCAGCCTTTTCACATTTTTCTAGGCTCAGTTACTGAGTATATACTACAGCCATTTTTGATCTCCAAACAAATTGACTTACAGGGCCTGTTTTCCTGTGTGATGTATTTGGAAAGAAGTAGGAACCATTTATTTAGAACAAGGTTTTGTTCGGATGAAGCCTCTGATTTGCTCAGAGGTGGTCAACGTTAATTTAAATTTCAGAAAAGGATTAGAGAAATGATTCTCCTTTACATTTGAAATTTGGTAAATAAAACTTAGTATGGGAAATTGCCATTATCTCATTGTTGAGTATCTGGTTGTTTTTATCCCTCTTAAAGATTCTTACAATATTTACATTGTGATTATCTGTGCAGAACAGTCATTAAAAGAACAATTAGAAGCTAATACAACTTCTGTTATTTATAAAGCGAAATCTCAGTAAACTTAGGAAAATAGTAATCATAAATTTAATTGTGTAGCTATCATTAATCCTTTGAGGGGCCAGGGATTTAGCTCAGTGGTTCCTCTGCCTGCCTCAAAGGTGCAAGGACCTGAGTTCGATCCCTGGTATCAAAAAAACCCAAACAAACAATAAAACCAAATTAACCCTTTGGTTGCCACTCTTTTATCATTTTTGAGTTCACGTGTTAGGTGTAATTATTTCCTGTGTCTTACACGCATGTGAGAGGCTGCATCTGTGCTCAGCAGTGCTGGTCACTCTGCTCGGGAGTGGTGCCAGTCTGCAAGCTGTATTTTCAGTCCACAGTGAGAGAAAGACTGGAGTTGAGTCATTTTTACATATCTGTTGACTAAGAATTTTTAAACTTAGGAGATTGTGTTTTGTCTTTTTTTTTCTCTCATTTTGTCTTTCTAAAAATTCATTTTTTTCCTGTTTTTACAAAAAGGTTGGTCTGCAGCAGTTATTTTTAAGAAGCCCAACAGTAGATACTGGAATATAATACAAAGCTTTGTCATTCTTAGATATTCACTGTCCTAAAAATTATATTGTTGCTTTTCATTGTTAACAGTTAATATGTCTTCTTCCTGGCATTTTTACATCAATAGGGAGCTCCGTTTAAATGACAACCTGTTACGAGTTCTACCTTTTGAGCTTGGAAAACTGTTTCAGTTGCAGACTTTATGCCTAAGAGGTATGACTTCCATATTTGTGCTACTTACAGTTTTATGTATGACTTTGAACCTAAAGAAGCCATGAGAGAATCCTTTTACCAGATTTATTGCTGGCTCACTGTTTGCCAAACTTCATAGTTTCTTAGATACATCCCAGTGGCTTTCTTACTATTTGGTAGCTGTAGGTTGTCTTTTTTCATTTTTAATTTGTGTGTTGGTATTGCAAATTGAACTCAGGGCCTCACACTGACCTACATCCCTAGCTTTTTAATATATTTATTTAATTTCAAGACAGGGTATAGCAGTATTACCCAAGCTGGCCTCCAATTTGCTATCTTCCTGCCTCAGCTTCCATAGTAGCTGGGGTGTAGGTGCACCCTAAAATGCCTGACTCTGTATTCTTTTGCTCCTAGTCCAAGGTTCCTCTTCTAGAGCCTTCGTTTTAATCAACCCTGTGTGTGTCCTGGTGATATGTTCCTGAGTCTATACTTCCCCACAGTACAGGCGCTCTATTATTGAGCTTTACTCCCAGGCACCCCCACCCCCCTTATTTTGAGACAGGGTCTTGCTAACCCCAAGCAGGGCTCAAACTTCTAATCCTCCTGGCTCAGCTTCTCTGAGTGCTAGGGTTACAGGTATGAGCCACTGTGCCTGGCTTACTTTTTTACTTTATCGTTCATATATGCATATATACAATGTGTGTACATACATACATATATGTGTGTGCTTGTGTGTGTGTGTGTGTATACACAGCCTTTTCCCCTTATGTTCAAATTTCAAAAAATGAAGACTCTTGCCAGGCCTGGTGGTGCATGCCTATAATCCCAGCACTTGGGATGCAGAGGCAAGAGGATTGCCGTGAGTTCAAGGCCAACCTGAACTGCATAATGAGACCCTGTCCCAAAACAACAAAAACAAACAGACTTACAGAGCACTAAAGAAAACAGTAAGTAGATCTATTAAGACCTACTAATAAAGATTTGAAATTGGGTATGTATTTTTAAACTTGATTTATGAGGCCTTGACTAATATGTTAGAAACCAGGGCCGTAATTGGTCCAGCAAGAACTATTATGAAAAATTGCTGTTGCTGTTGTTGCTCTCCTAGTTTTTGAGAGGGTTTCACTGCGTAGCCAGACTGGCCTTGAACTTGCACCTCCCCTGCCCTAACGTTCCACACACTGGAATTGCTGCAGGTGATGGCGTCACACCTGGTTGAGATCCTTGGTTCTAAACCGCCAAGATTGAAGGTCATATTCTAAAAAATATATCAAGGCTTATAATTTTTTAAAAATCAGATTAAGTGATTCTTCGCTGGTCTTGGCCAGGTTACTATACAACTAGTATATTGTTTCTAAAACAATTATCACTCCTTCAAAAATTGCATTCCTGTTTCTTTAAAATGTGGTTTGTAAGATGAGATTTTTATTCCTACACGTCCGTCTTATGTATTATAAAAACAATTTAGAAAAATAAATGAAAAGATCATATTCAACAGTTATGTAAATATTTCTTTGGGGATTTTTTGGGGGGTCGGTTGGTCTGGCTCAGGCTTCGTAAAGATCTGTGAAATATAAACTCAGGGTAACTTTTTCTGTTAAATCTCCTAACTCACATGGTCTTTGCTGGCGGGTAGAGATGGGGCCGTGTTTTTCTTTGGTGTTTAGCTGAATTTGAGTGGGTCTTACCTAAAATTTTTTTTGTCTTTCTAGTCAGCTGTTTGCTAGATGTTTGACTTCTGTTGGTTTTTGTGGTTTTTGTGAGGGGTTTTTTTGCTTGTTTTTGTTTGGTCTGCATCCCTTGGTAGTTCCATATTAATGTTTTTTTCAGCTCCATATAAATGAGGTAAAAAGTAAACCCAGGAACCACCACAATGTCATTCCTCTGTCTTTTTACATGTTTCAGAGTTCTATAGTGTTCCACATGTAATGTGTAGGATTTTTAGTTGTATTTAGCAGAAGGAGTAGGGAAAAATGTTTATGCCATTGGCCCTGAAGCTTCTGTCGTTTATTTTTGTTCCTCACTTCGGAGGATACTGTATCGAGTTTTAATTCCAGAGTTTTTTGCTGTTGTCACTGTTACCTTTACCCTATAAACATTTTCTTTTTCCAAGCAGGGAAGAGTAATTGTAAATTAAAAGAAATTCCAAAAAGCAAAAGCAAATAAACATTTGTGAAAATACACCATTAGACCTCATTTGCACTGAATTATAGAGTAATGAACAATTTTTTTTTAATGTTTGGGAATAGTTTTTAATTTACAAAGAAAGATCCCAGAAGGAGAGATCATAATTATAAGTGGTTAGCAATCATCTCTATATACTTTTTTCAATAGAAAGTAGTAAACAGACAGCATCAGTGTAGGTCTGGTTAATGGGCTGCTTATCTGGCATAGAGATGTTTTTGGTTGCTTCTCAAAACATGGTTAACAAAAGGTCCTGGTAATTTACACGTAAAATCCCAAGAGTATGACTAAATGAAAATACAAAAGGACTGTAGCAGGAATAAAGAGCTGTACACATTTGAGAAGATGATACTTTTATAACTTCTTGAAAAGACAGCAGCACATTTTTATTTATAACTCGTAGACCCTTAAAACTGAAAATGATCTTAAAAGTCAAGTAACTTTGTTATTTGTCTCATCCATGTGAGCCAGCTTCTTTGATTACAGGGCTCCTCTGCTTCCCAGGGTGGGGCACTTTACCTTCAGTAGCCCTAATGTCTACCAGCCACTTGGGTTCTGAATTGGCCTTTCCTGTTAGAGCCTGTTCATTGGTTCTTATTCTGCTTTTGAGTCCAGTCTTTGCCAAGAGTATAGGAGGGGGGAGGAAATCTCTTTTTTTCTGAGGATTGTGATCATTACTAAATACCTTGTCCTTTCAGTTTTCTGTACTTTTCGTGGCTAAGACCCTTCACAATTTTGCCTGCCTTGTTCAGTCTGTATTTCTCCAGTATTAAGTGGAGCTGTGGCATTCAGAACAACACACACCATTTGTGTAGTATGGGCAGGAACTTGGGTGCCTAAAGTACTGCATTGTGCTGTTATGCCTTGTTTATACATAACAGAAGTTTCTGAGAGCATTTGAGACCTTGAAGATTCTTTTGAGTTATTGTATTTGCTTTCATTTTTCGCACGAAACTGTTGTTGAATTTATACATGGCTTGTGGCCCCAGGATTTTTTTTTGTCCTTAGTGAGTTAACTCTTACCAGTTCTGCCTTATTTTGTTACTTAATGCAGTAGGGTTTTAAAAATCTAAATGCAGGACTTAGCATTTACCATTACAATGTTTTCTTATTAGCTTTGTGGCATTCTCAATTCTTATTTCTCTTTGATTCATTATTATTTGTCGTCTTCCTCTTCTGTAATCCTTACCAGGCTCCTACCTCTAACCCCCATCTAATTACACTCAGGGTTTTTTTGTTGTTTTTTTTGTTTTGCTTTGCTTTTTGAGACAGGTTCTTGCTTTGTAGTCCAGGCTGTCCCTGAACTCACTGTGTACCCCAGCCTGGCCTCAAACTCGTGACAATTCTCCTGTGTCGGCCTCCTGAGTGCTAGGATTACAGGCATGCGCCACCATGCCCAGCCAAATATTTGATGACTTTTTTTTCTTTTTTTTGGTACCGGGAATCAAACTCAGGGCCTCGTGCTTGCCAGGCAGGTGCTGTGCCGTGGAGCTACATCCCTGGTCCAATACTCAGTTTTAGTTATTGTAACCATCTCTGTTGTTGAAAGTGTTGGTGAGGTAGGGTCAGATACAGAGCACTGCTAGAACACTTCTATATTGGCATCAATCCATTAAGCTTTTTTTTTGTACCGGGGATCGAGCTGGGAACCTTGCGCTTGCAAGGCAGGCAGCGGCACCACTGAGCTAAATCCCCAGCCCATTAAGCTTTTTTAGAGTACCTCAATCTATACCTCACACATGGTATAAATTATTTACATTTCAAATCAAGAACTGAAAAAAAATATTTGCTGAAGTAGTAAGTTATTAGCAACTATGCCAATCGTTACAGAAAATTGGGTGTTTTTTTAATGTATTTTTTGAAGTTTGAAATATTTTAGTATTTATCTTGGTTTCATTTACCTATTTTAAAAATATTCCAGGAAATCCACTTACCCAGGATATATTGAACCTCTCTCTGGAACCAGATGGAACAAGAAGGCTACTGAACTATTTGCTTGATAATTTGTCAGGTACTGCAAAAAGAAGTAAGTGGTTGTTTGTTCAAACCTTTTTATTAGGAAGACATACAAGAATATTGCTTAATTTTATGTTTTCTATATTTAACTAGTTTCCACAGAACAGCCACCTCCAAGATCTTGGATTATGTTACAAGAACCAGACAGAACAAGGCCAACTGGTTGGTAACCTGATTTTTTAACTCTTAATTTTACTTAGTCTGGAATTTTTTATCTTAATTTTACTTGGTCTCTTATTTTTACTTGGTTCAATTTTTACTAGTCTCACCTCTTATTTTAACTTATTTTTAACTCTTATTTATACTATTCTTGACATGCTTTAGGTTAGTGGTGGCGAACCTACGGCACACTTGCCACAGCTGGTTATTTGTCATCCTTGAAAGCTCTAAAAGGTTCCCATTGCTGCTTTAGATAATGGGCAACAGACGTTAAGGCAGAATGGCTGTGGTTGATTTGGTCTGGGAGGTCATCTGTCCTGTGTGTGTGCTGTGCAGGATGAGGTATGCTATAAAGCGTACTTCTGAAAATGGGTGCAGTTCTATGCTCCAAGAGACACTCATCACTGTGTGGAGGCAATTTTGATTATCAAACCTGGGAGGAACCCTACAGGCATCTAGTGGGTAGAGACCAACAGTGCTGCGATTCGCCCACCTAAATGTCAGCAGTGCCCCTCTTGAGAAACGCTGGTTCAAAGTGAGATTCATTTATAAGTAAATACACCAAGATCTTTCTATAGTGGAAATTTCCAAATCCTAGTATGTTCCAAATGTGTTTGACCTAAGTTTTATGAAAATAGTGGAGAGCTCCCATGGCATGTAATAGGATTTGATCTATGATACTCCTTTCTTTTTGCATGAATTGACAATATGGGCATGATCTTGTTTTGTTATACTTTGCTTTATTGTGCTTCACAGATACTGTGTTTTTTTGTTTTATAAATTGAAGGTTTGCAGCAATGCTATGCTGAGTAAGTCTGCCATTTTTCTAACAGCTCAGATAATGACTGGCATATTTTAGCAATGAAGTATATCTTTAGTTATGTGCCCTTTTTAAACCTGCTATTACACTCTGAAGGTAATAAGAGTATAAACGTTAGCATTTATGTGCACTGGGAAGCCAAAAGATTCATGTGACTTGCTTTGTTGGAGTATTCACTTTATTGCTTTGGGTGGAACTAAACTCAGTGGTATCGCTTAGGTATGCCTGTGGTTGCTCTCTATAAGAATAATAGACATATTTACTAAAAGACTGTCTTGCAGTTTTCTACATCTACATTAAGAATCAGTGACCTGGTGGAAGAAGTAGAGAAATGAGGAACCTTGGTTTTAGAGGGTTCAGCCTCTTAGTCTTTTAGCTTCCAGACTTTCTCGCTTACCTCTGTATTAGATAACACGTTATACTCTGTAATCTGTTCATGTATCCCTTTTCATTAACTATCTCTATATCCTCTCTCTGTGGCTGGCATATTGTAGCTTTTTAAAAAAAATTCATTAAGTTTATTGGTACATTTTAGGTATACAATACGATGACATTCATCATTGGGAATTTGTACCTTTACATGATATATCTTGGTTCTTTTTTTTTTTTTTCCCATTCCCCTGCCCTCCCTTCAACCCCTCCACCCCTCCACAGACTTTGTTTCTGTTTTTTCCTTTTCTCATATTCCTTTCCCTTCTTTCCTTTCCCCAACCTGTAGCTTTTTAGTAATGTAGATTGAATAAAGACAAATTTAACGTTTAAGTGAAAACTATTACTGAAATGGCCTTTTTTTTCTGCCACGTGTATGAATAAGTAAAGTTGTCTTTTCTACAGCCTTGTTTTCTGTCATGTGCTATAATGTTCTTTGTGATAAATATGCGACCCGGCAGTTATATGGCTACTGTCCATCTTGGGCACTAAATTGGGACTACAGGAAAAAGGCCATTATTCAAGAAATCTTGAGCTGCAATGCTGATATTATAAGTCTTCAGGTAAGTCACACAGAAAGTGTTTAAATTGCAAAAATCTCCCAGCATTGACAAAGCAAGGAACAAATACCCTAGAATACATTACACTGGCACATTTGAAATTGCAGCTTCAGCATTTCTTACAGTACCAGCTTTTTTTGTTTTTAGTGAATTCTAAGTTCACTGCTTGCTTTGCTTTGCAATAATATGCTACCAAATAAAGCAAGTGTGTTGAGCTGGATTTTAAGCATTTATAATGGCAGCTAAATATTCACCTTCCCTCCTGCAGTGTCTCTGCACATAGTGTTTTTGAGGTGGGTGGCAGAGTAACTGAAATTGTGTTATCACCTAGGTAATTGTACTTTACTACTAGTGTTAAAAGAATAATTAGGGCATGATGGGGAAAGGATTGGATTTTATGTACAGTAACTTTGGCTTGTTAGTCCAGCTGTCATAATAATTTTAAAGTCTTGGGCAAGTCACTCTCTCCTCATGAGTCTGAAATTATGATCTGTGAAGTTCCTTCTACTTCTGTGATTTTATTTCTCAATCTAAGACATACACATTCATATGCATGTGTATCTTCCCCTTCATTACTCCTAAACAACAGAGAATTGACCTTGGGAATAACTGATACCTGTAAAAGGACACGTGTATGTTGTGATTAGTTTCAGGTAAATTAGATTGAACAGATGTTACATTCTTTAATCTGCAGCTCAGTCCTTTACTACTTCAGGCTTTCGCATTACATATACAGAGTTAATGTGTAGGGCTGATTTTTGTCCCGTGAAGTAACTTGGCTGTTTACAATTTTTTCAGGAGGTTGAAACAGAACAGTATTACAGTTTTTTTCTGGTAGAACTGAAAGAACGTGGCTATAATGGATTCTTTAGTCCAAAGTCTCGAGCTAGGACAATGTCAGAACAAGAAAGAAAACATGTTGATGGCTGTGCAATATTCTTCAAGACAGAAAAGTAAGTCTTCCCATTTTTTAAAAAAGGAAAATGTTCTCGGTGTTTGCGGGGTGGGTACCAAGGCTGTGGAAATTAATTGGGAAATAAGAGAATGAGGCACTATTATTAATCAAGAAAACAGTACTATTGACTTAGGTGTTTTTGTTTTTAATCATCAGAAATATCTTTGTTTTGTAGACATGCTTAAAGTACTGCTGTTTCTTCAGGTGTTTACTAGGACTTTAACTCCAATTGTCACTTGAAATACTACATCTTTAACATTCCCTCTAGGATGATGGAGGGATTCTTAAACCTGTATTTTGGAAAATAACTATAAATTATTATAAGATGGAATATTCAAGTATGAAACATTCTGAATAAAAGATTACTGCGTTACATTAATTTGTAAAGGTATTTCAAAATGTTATTTATATCAATAACAGATTGGAAACAACTTTGGATGTGAGATTGTGCTGATTGTGAGGGAGTTTCCATAATGGGAACCTAAGTGCCATCATATCTGTTAAGGAAGTTTGGGAAAACATCGTGATGTTTCCAATTCTTTGTTTATGTGTGTGTTTTTGTTTCTGTTTTAGATTTACTTTGGTTCAGAAACACACTGTTGAATTTAATCAGCTAGCAATGGCAAATTCAGAAGGGTCTGAAGCTATGCTGAACAGAGTCATGACAAAAGATAACATTGGAGTTGCAGTACTGCTAGAACTTCGAAAGGAATTGATTGAAATGTCATGTGAGTGGCCCTTTCACTTCCTGTAAAATTGATCTCCAAAGTTTAATAATTCCAATTAGACATCTTCGAAAAGAATAAAAACAGACCTCTCGTTATTTATTAAAGGTCTTATCTAACACCTGAAGAAACTCAGTGAGAATTTGTTTTCTAAAACATTATCTCTTTTTCCACAAAGTGTAAGATAAGAAAGCATTGCTCATAAAAGTATCACAAACCTGAAAAACACAGAGCTAAAAAGGTCTTTTTTTTTTTTTTTTTTTTTTGCTCTCAGGAATTTTTCACATAAAAGAAATACTGAAGTAAATATTAATTAAAATAACTACCAGTGGATAAAAACTATAATAATGTCTTGTCAGCAGTGATATTCTGTAAGCTAATTATCTTCCCGATCTACTTATAATAATTATGTTAATTCAGAGCATATCTAGACTGGCTATCATGCTGAGAACTGAAACTTCTGAATACTTGGAATGGGAATATTTAATGTGAAGGATGTTAAAGGTAGACAATAGAACTTAATGCTTTCTTAAATATATCTAAAAAAGAGGGTTTAGATTTTAATTTTGGATTTTTAGGACATGTAAACTAAAACCGAAAGTTTCAAGGAGACAGAACTTTTGAAAATCAAACAATCCTAAATAGAATGGGTTATGTGGATACCAGTGGTGAATTCTCCTATGCTATAAGTATCACCCAGATGTTTAGATGTGTGTATTGCACGTCCTAGTCAGTTGAATAGATGGGGAATTGTTAGGTAAATGTTGAGATCCTTTTCTATTCTGAGACTCTGATATAATCAACTTGTTTCAGATTAAGAATCTATGGCCTGATGGGTGGGTTTTTGTCTGTTTTCTTCTTATCTATTGTAGCTGGAAAGCCACACCTTGGAGCAGAAAAGCAACTTATTCTTGTGGCTAATGCTCATATGCATTGGGACCCTGAATACTCTGATGTGAAGTTGGTACAAACTATGATGTTCCTCTCAGAAGTGAAGAATATTATTGATAAAGCCTCTCGAAGCCCCAAATCTAGTGTATTGGATGAATTTGAAACTATTCCACTTGTGTTGTGTGCAGATCTTAATTCTTTGCCAGACTCTGGTAAGAAAAGAGTCCTATTTTATATAATATGCATATTTTTGACTTAAAATGTTTTTGCAGTATGTTGTTCTTGATAATTCCAAATTTAGTCCAAATGAAAATTTAATTTGTATTGGTACTCAGGAGCCAGTTTTCAAGTTTTTCCTGTGTGAGGGAGAGACATCATTTTGAAAAAGAAGTGGTATTATAGAAACCTAAGGAGAAAGGTCATTAATCATCTTTGATAAACATATAAGTGATACAGGCTGAGCATCCCTAATCCAAAATCTGAAATGCTTTAAAGTCCAAAACTTCCAGGCACTGACCCGATGCCACAAATGGAAAATTCCACACCATGAAACTTCTTTTCATGCATAAAATTATTTAAAATTCTGTACAAAATTCCTTCAGGCTACATATATAAGGTATATATGAAACATAAATGAATTTCATGTTAAAACTTCAGTTCCCTCCCCGAGATCATTATGTATATACAAATATTCCAAAATCTGTGATCCAAAACACTTCTGGACCCAAACATCGTAGATAAGGAATACTCATCTTGTTAACTTGAAATAACTTGTGAACGAACAATTATTAACCTAAATCATATAATCCAAATTCCAAAAAGTTTACTAAGTCTGCTTCTTTGGATTCTGGCATGTGGTAATATGAACTTAGTTAGAATTTGATCCTATATTACACGATCTTTGTTCTTGTTTTTTGAGACAGGGTCTTGCTATACAGATAGTTCGTAATGGCCTTGAACTCACTTTGTAGCCCAGACTGGCCTCTCGAACTCGCTGAGATCATCCTTCTTCCTTAGCCTCCCCAGTGCTGGGATGGATTACAGGTGTGTCCCACCGCCACAACTGGCCACAGTCTTAAAATGTTTCTTTTAAGTAACTTGTTCAGAAACATATACCTCAGGTAGGAGTTGAGATACTTTGTTTATACATCATTCAAGTCATTTTAATAAAAAGAGCAAGAATCTCTTTTTTTTTTACACTTGATCTTAGCCAAAAGTCTGAGAAGCAATAGGTTTTTTTTAAATCACGGAGTAGAAGGATATAGAAAGTCTGATCTTGAGTATATATTTTTTCATAGATAGTATGGCAAATAGACTATAGCCCTTATAATAGCAAATTAGATAGTTCTTTTTTATGTTTCAACTCTTTATTCATATTCTTACATGCACAAGAATACCTTCCTTTGGACTTGCATGCATACATGCATGCATGCACTCACACATACCTGCCTTCATGGTAGATGAATTTGGTGGGACGTTATGGCCATCTCAATAGAGAAGAGCCACAAAGAAGAAAAAAACTTTAAGATTTGTTTTTAGGGAAGATGAAAGTATTACTCAGATTTGTAATTCTTTCATCAATCTCATCAGGGCGTCTGATTACTAATACTGAAAGAACTGATTAATTTCAGACAGTTTCTCTACTTGCTTTCTACCCTGTTGATAGCTACAGGGAGCAAGGAGAGAAAAGTACAGTATGTTAATAGCAAATACATGGGATAATATCCATTCATGCTGACTAAATAAAAATATATTTGCAGAGCCTATTTTATACTTAGGAAATTGGGAAAATATTGTCCAGGGATGGTAAAGTTGCTTTGTAACTAACTGGTGAGATTCTCTTCCATAGTTTGTAGTATTATAAAGTGACATGTGAAATCCAAAGATTAGAAGTAAATATCCTGTAAATAATATAGAATAAGTAGAAATGTGTGTACTAAGATGTTGATTGTGGCATTTATCTTTAGTTCTTTTTAAAAAGTAGAAACCTGAATTTTAAAAAACAAACTAGAAAATACTGCTCTAGCTGAAGTGTTTTATCTAGCCATTAAGAAAGATGGCTATTTAGGAAAACACCTGCTATAAATGAATAAAGACTACAACTATGTAATAGATCTGGGCAAGTTCTGGAAAAGTTATTCTAAAACATTTTAGAAAGTGGAAATCGTTTTTCAATTAGTTACTGTTGTGAGATCTTTTTAATTTATTTGCTGTGTATTGTACTTGACAGTGATAAAAGTACATGTCTCTTCATTTTAGGAGTTGTAGAATATTTGAGCACAGGTGGGGTAGAAACAAATCACAAAGACTTTAAGGAACTGAGATATAATGAAAGTCTTATGAACTTCAGCTGTAATGGAAAGAATGGAATGACCAATGGAAGGATCACCCACGGTTTCAAATTAAAGAGTGCCTATGAGAGCGGCCTGATGCCTTACACGAATTACACATTTGATTTCAAGGTGTGTCTCTTATTATGGATTCTTTGGTCTTTAAAATGTGGATGTGTGTTCAGACTGGAGTTAAAACAACCTTAAATTCATTGACAGCTGTATTATTTTATTGATCTTCTGTAGAATTCCTTCTGATTGATGTCATATCCTTACTTACTAATCTGTTAGAATTCTATTTTCCACAGTAAGAAGTGAGATGAAGTAATGAAAGTAAATCAATTCCAGAAGCAGTTTTCATCTTTTAGGGGCAGTTTCTTGCATGCTCTGAGTTGGATATGCAGTGCCGTAATACCTTAATTTGGCTGTGAGGTGAGGGTGAGACTCTGTGTACTTGGGTTTAGCTGAAACTGTACTCCTTTGAATGCCAAAATGTGGTTTATATCATCCTCCTTTTGAATGTTTCTAGAATATTTTTATGTGCTGCCTTTACACAGTTAATATCTTACAGTGTAGAACCTTTTCTCAGTGACTCATTATTTTGTATCAGTGGTTACCTAGGTCTGTGTCATTTTATTTTGAACAGATGTCTTTTTTTAGTAACTTGTATTTCTTTCTTTTTTTTTTTTTGATACCGGGAATCGAACTCGGGTCCTTGCACCTGCATAGCAGGTGGTGAAACCACTGAGCTAAATCCCCGGCCAGTAACTTGTATTTCTGTTCTAGTAAATTCCAGTTTTTATTTCTAACCTGGTGGAAAAATAAGTTTTCTGTTAGATTGTCTATTTCAGTCTAAATAAGAGCTTGGGTAATGTGTTGGGAGCTCTTGCACCTTAAAAAGCATAGAAATGATCACCTATGTTTTGCTCAGTGTCCTAGGCAGACTGATTGATGAGGTGAGCGTGATAACCAGAGGTCGGGGAGAGGGTAAGGTTTTTCCCCTTAGTTCTGCTGCTGATAGCAGGACTGGAAGAAGACACTTGCATACACACCAGTATCTTTGGCTAAGAGCATATGGAGCAGGGGCTAAGTCACAGAGGGGCAAAGCCAGCAGATCTGTGCTAGCTGTAGTTCTTGGGGCTGCTGGAAAGATGTGCAGGCCAGGTGGAAATAGCCCTCCCCTTAGTCAGTTATGGTCTCGTGGGAGACAGGTTTTATATTGGTCAAATTCTGTAGCAAAACACTTCAGATAACCTACAAGGAGAAAGTTTTATTTGGCTCATGGTTTTAGAGGTCCCACTAGAGGATCTCTCTGGGTCTCTCTGGCAAGGCAGTGCCTCCTGGTAGGATTGCCAGCGGAGCACACTTATTACCTCATTGGCTGGGAGGCAGGGCCAGAGTAAAGGGGAAAGATCTCCTTCAAAGCCTGCCCCAGTGACGTGTAAGGCGCCATGCTCTACCTCCTGAAGGTCTGCAGTCCCTTCCAGAAATGCCACCCTGCAGATGAAACCTTCGACACATGGATCTTTGGGAGCATTCAGAATCAAAACCATAGCAGGGCACACCCACACAAATGAGTGTGTAATCATACCTTGGGAGCGTCAGCAGGGGAAGAGAATCAGTGGTTGGAGGTGTATGAGTGGGAGCAGGAAAGTGATTGAACCTGACATCGGAAGACTGAGAAGGAACTAACCAGATGGCAAGTGTTAAAGTGTTCCAGGTAGGAGAGCCTTTGTCAGGTCCTGGGGCACGAAGGAGTTTAGTGCCTAAAAGATAGATGCTTTCCTCGCCCCACCTCACGGAAGGCTAGTATGGTGCCAGGGTGCTGAGTCAGGGAAAATGGCAGATTATGTCAGGAAAGAGAAGCAGAGGCAGGGTCATGAAGGCCTTTTAGGTCTCACTGAAGGTTTGCTGATGGTGCAGATAGGAAGAAGGCTTCATTTGGGTGAAGGTGACATTTGTGGGACCATTTGGTTTTTATTGTGCTACTACTTACAAGCCAGTAAGTTTCTTTTGTTTACCAAATGTAACTGTGAGGATGGGTCTTAAAACACTCTATTTCAGTCTTCTATTATATTGGGCCTTGTCTTTTATTTTTATTTTATTACTGTTTTTCAGGGTATAATTGACTACATCTTCTATTCCAAACCTCAGCTGAACACTTTAGGCATCCTGGGACCTCTGGACCACCATTGGCTAGTTGAGAACAATATCAGCGGCTGCCCACATCCACTCATCCCCTCTGACCACTTCTCACTTTTTGCACAACTGGAGCTCTTGCTGCCGTTCCTGCCCCAAGTTAATGGCATTCACCTTTCTGGCAGGAGGTAGCCCAGTACCTTCAGAGGACAACCTCAGTTTTAATGTGAACTCGTGAAAATCTGAATAAGAGGGCGAGGCATGGCTGGAGGTCTCCTTAGTGTGATTTGAATTTCCAGTTCGTTGGTTTGATAAAGGACATAGTATGAAAGCCAGGTGCTAGCAACAGACAAATTCTGAGCCCAATGTGCTTTATATACTGGTAGACAGGGATTGGTGTGTCTGCACCTGTCTCTCATTTGTTAAAAGTAATTTTCCTGTTTCTTCTATCCAAGATAATATTTTCATGCCTTGAAATAGGAAAATGTTGGAACAGCATATCCTCTTTGCACAGAAATCTGTAGCACTACTTTTTTGAGGCCAGTAGTAACATCCAGAGACCATTCTTCCAGACTTACACCCTTTTTCAGATTTATTTGTAAAATATAGAATTTGAATTTAGCCTTTATGATTGTATATGATCCACAGAAGATCTGATTTATGAAATTTTGTACTAAAAAATATCAAATTTGAAAACAGTTGTATTGTAAACTAAGGCTAAATGTTTTGCTTATTTCCTGTGTTCTGAAGGCCAGCTTGTAAAAGAGTTGCCGCAGACTTTCTCTGCAGTGATTTGCACTGTTAGGGTTTTGTTAGCCCTTTTGTACTATTTTATTTTTAAATTGAGAACATTGCTCTTTAAATCTAGGTCTGCTCAAACCATAGGACATTTTCTTGGACCAGAGGCAACTTGATTGATGAACTCCTCAATTTTTATGAAAACTATCTACTAGGACAGATAAGCTGAACAGTAAATGATTCATAGGCATTTATGAACTGAATGTGATGGTTCATGTATGTACATTCTCATATTTTTAAATCTTCAACTTTTTTTAAGTTAAAAATATTACAGCTGCTTAGATACAGCTTCTTTCTTACCTTCTTGAGACACTTCCTGTCCTCTCCACTGTGCCTGCCTCAGTCTGTTCTCACCCAGCACTGCCTGTGCACGCAGAGAAAATCTGTGCGTCCTCTTTTATATTTTTAAATATTATTTAACATTTGTGAGAATTTTATGAAAATGCTTTTGTGTGGGCTGTGGCTTTCATCCCATTGTGAAGCATTGAATATCACATCTCAGAAAACGTTCAGGGTCTGCGTCTGGTCACCTGGCCCCGGCCCTGCTTCTTGGTGCCCATTGCATGGTGCTGTTTGCCACCCACAATGCTACTACCATGTGAAGTTCTTTGTTTTTTTTCTTAGTTGCCCATGTATTCTCTGTCTCTCAGATTTTCTTTTAAAACCATTCCTTTTTAAAGAAAAAATAATTTTCTGTTTATGAAGCAGTATAAATTAGATGCATTTTCAAAACGGGTCCCTCAGACATTTCTTCAGATCATTTTTAAAGTGACCGAGTCATTGTCAAATGTCAGCCAAGATGAAAGTTGCATTGTACCCTGTGCTTTGCCCATAGTTTTAGTAGACTAGAGATTAGAGCAAGCTTTAGCTTTGCAAAGCTAACTTGTATATATTTTGTTCTCAGTCGTTCATTCTTCTGAAAAATCAAATGAATTCAGAGGGTGTTTGGTCTGCTTTTGTTTCAACTGCAGGCAGGGGAGCAAAAGGATACCACGTGCGCATTAAGAAAAAATTGATTGTTATTAATGATTTTTATACAGAGGATGAGTCATTTTGGATGACTTAAAATTTTATGAAAAATGTTAAGCACTAAATGTGCTTATTCTGCTTTTAAGAGAAAATAAAATTACAGTACTCTTTAAATAAATGATTTTTTTTTTCTTTCTTTCTTTTTAAGAAATTCTACCAAAAGGTTTTCATCTTGAATCTTTGTCTTGGACCTGGTTTTTCCTTTAAGGGTTTTTATGTTTTTGGTTTTTTTAAATAAAGAATTTGCTGTAATTTTTTTTTTTTTTTTTTGGCACTTTTTAAATTGTGCCAACACCAAACACATTTAGTTTATAATCAGTACGTTGCAAAGCTGGTGTTACTAATGTAGAACCAGTTCATGACTTTTTATGGGTTTTGTTTTATTTTTTTGTAAAGTGAGAATGAAAGTGTGTTTACTCATTTTCCCTAAACACTGTGTTGTATGTGCATCATGACAATTTCCGGTGAGGGTGATCTGGAGCCGGTTGTACTGATGGAGGAAGCTGCTCTTCATGGGACCCGATTGTGGTATCAAAGGTCCAGAGGGCTTTGTGGTTGGGAGGAGGAGCACTTACTGTTCTGTTTGTTATCGGAAGATGTGTTCTTTTCATAGATGCTGGAGCTAGAGTGCACTTGTTAGATGCTACAGGTTTGAGCTTTACACAAAATGTTTTCATCTGTATTTGTTACTGTGTATAATATATTTGAAATTTGGGACCGCATACTAAGATAGAATGGCCTGCTGTGTCTTGAGAGTACTTGTTTTTGCCTCTTCCAGGCACACTGCGTCTGTGAATCAGTTTGAACAGCTTCTCCACCTTACGTAGATAGTGTAAATTAAACCAAGAGTGCAGATTTACAACTGTAACCTTCAAAAGAAAAAGAAATAGTTTGAGTCAATAGCGGATAAACGTTCACACCAAAACAGACTATGATACTTTCATTAAGCGAGGGTTTATGTTCTGGATATTTTCTGTGTCCTGAATAATTTCCAATAATCCATACTCCTAAAATGCAATAAAAACTAGTTTGTTTTCGTAGTGTAGATTATTTTACAAAAATTCTGTAACATGTATTTAATGTTTTGCCATAATGTAATTTCAGTGTTCTTGCTGGAAAAATCATCTTAGGAATGTTTTACAGAAAATTTGGGATGTGGTTTTTTTGTTTTAAAGATGAGAAATTTGGAGGCACTCAATTCCTTGTTGTAAATCTCTTGAATACGTTTTACAATATTAGTGGTAATTATTTATGCTTTGAGAATTTAAATAATGTTCATCAAAATTAATTTATGGCATAATTTAAACTAAAGTTGTAGAAGTAAATTGTTGATTGCAACTTTAATAGTCCCAGAAGATAGGCAGAGAACATCTCCAAGAAACGAGTTTTCATTTGTATTTTTGATTGGGGGGCAACCAGGAGAACTTATTTTGGGTTAGCACTTTGAAACCTAAGGATATCAGTAAATTGGATGGCATGCACTTCTGAATGTTGAAATTACAGTTTCAAATCCTTTCTAAGATTGAGGTTTTTGATAATAACATTCAAGTTTTAGAGTTCCACTTTTCTTACTGTTCAAACTTAAGGAATTAGTTTCCATCGTGACTTTTTAAGGTTTGGGGGTCATGTCATACAAAAGCCAACCTAAAACAAAAACAGTTACCAACCCTTTGGTCTTTTAATGAATCAAAGCCAAGTGTGGTTGTGCATGCCTGTAATCCCAGTACTCTGGAAGGATGAGACAGGAGGATCACAAGTTTGATCCCCACCTGGGCAATTTAATCCTTAGAGACCCTGTCTCAGCTGCATTTTTTAAAAGGGCTGGGGATGTAGCTCACTGCAAAGACCTTGGGTTCAATCCCTAGTCTTGCCAAAATCAGAATATCAGCATAGCTATTGGCAGACAGTGGGAGGAACGCTTTAAGGAAGGGTCTGTCCCCCACTTACAAACAGTATTTAAGATGTTCGCTTTGCTCTTCCTTTTGGTTATGTAAAATTTAAAAACTGGTATGTTGATGTAGTGTCTAAAATAGAGTATCTAGTCTTTATTCACAGTACATTATATTGTGTAATGCACTGGACTAACTCTTGTTTACCATTCGTGTAATAAGAAAACCCAGCACATTATCTGCACTAAGCTCAAAGAATGTCACATTTGCCTAGGCAGCTCTTTGATAAGGGTAATGGAAAACTGAATTTAGACCGTATGGACTGGTGGTAACAAGGGCTTTTAATCTTCTTTTCAGTGGAACCTTCTTGGTCAAATTGTAACTAGGTAGTATTATATTTATATACAGGGTGTCTTTTCTTTACCAATGTATTTTCCTACTCATAGCCAACCAATAAATTCAATATCTGTTTCAAATATTTTAAAGTGTAATTTGTATAGCTGTAGTACTGAAGTTTGAAAAGAATAAATGTTAATCCTTAAAATTCTGAGTCATCTGGACAGGGTTATAACTCATCCTTTCAGAGGGAAGAGTGAAAGGGGACAGGGCCATGATAGGGGGAAATGGTGTAAAAAATATGTATTTCCTTATTGGCTGTGTTATTTTGTATAACACTCGTATCTTTGCCAAAGTTCAATTTTATATTTAGGCACCTGACGGTCCTTTTGCATTTAGGATTATTGTTGTTACCATATACCTCATGATATAAGAGATGGGTTCCTGTGTCTTCCATCTTTTGGAAGGAGGTGGACATATTTTAAATAAATGCTTTTAATACAGTAGCAAACATTGTGTTGGGGTTATACTAATTTATTAAATGTTTTACACATTACGTGTATAATTTGTTGAATGTATGAGCTTGAAAAGTATGTGACTTCTGAAGTCCTCCTGTGTGGGCTTATAGTGAAGGGGAGTGGGGGGGTTATTTTGTTTTTAGAAACTATTTCTGTGACACATAAATGTAAATTTTATGTAAGTGATGGAAAAATCATTTAAAAAGAAAATTTAGAGAATGTTTGCTGAGATGTCCAGTTTTTAAAGTGGGCATGTGCTGCATAATCCTTAACAGCTAATTTTGCCTATATAACAGTGGTCTTGGTCTTCCATTTAATTGTCAAAAAAAGTGGAAAAAGTTAATGAAGTATGTTTACTGTGTTGCTTTGTAAATTCTAAGTAATGTTCTTTAGAGGAATAAGCACATACCTAAAGAAACATGAACTGAAATTTGTTTAGCACCATGTTTTCAGGTTTTAGATAATGTCATCTCTACTAGGGATTCCTTTTTTGAACTATTTAGGTATTCAAATGTAAGCTGGTTTTAAAATAAGCTTTCGTAAATATTACAAAGACAGTATAACAGGTTATATTTTAGAAGAATCCTGTGTAAAGAGTAGCTTTTAGTAGAATTTTAGTGAGATTTGTGAAATATTTCCATAAGTAAAGTTGTCCCAAGTAATATTCTAAGTCATTCTTCAAATGAGTCTAACCAACTGGGGTAAAGATAGAAATTGGGAAAATTCCTGGATTATAGGGTAGCTTGCAGTTTCTCTTGTTTCTTTAGCACATGAAACACTTCTAATCATAAAGGATAAGGAGATGCTGGTTTTCTCATTTCTTTATAAACTACCAACTTCAAATCACTCTACCCAAAGGCACTGACCCACATGGATCTTTCGTGAGCGGCTTACTCTAATCCGCGTACCTGAAGTGGACTTCAAGAACTCTTTGCCTGATTCTTCTTGGTGTTACCAGCAGAGTGAGTCTAAGCCGCTGGGCTCGCCCGATGAAAGCGCTAGGTTCGTTTCGGTGAGTAGAATGGTAGTTAAACCCCTTTTCTTGGTCACATACCAGTCAGTTCTCACTTAGAATTGAGTAACTTAGAATGGTTGGTGCTACATGTAGTTTGGAAGTAGACATTCCTAGGTACAACCCCCATGCCTTGTCAGTCGTGGCAGTCCAATGCAGTACACCTGTTATGTAGGGAATAGCTCTGTACATGAGTCTGTACAATCACTCAGAGATACTCTTCGAGCTGGACCACATAGCAAGACCCTGCCTCAGAAAACAAACAGAAAAAAGAGTTAAGTTGGAGTGGCTATGCTAATGTCAGAATAGACCGTGGGGGATGCTACTAGATATACAGAGGGATATTTTATAATAAGTAATATCAAACAAAAGCACCCCGAGCCACATGAAGCAAACACTACAGAATAGAAGGGGGGAAATACACAATTCAATAAAAATGGGACTCTCAGTACCTTACTGTCAATAGATAAAACAACTAGGGAGAATATAATAGATTTGAACAATAAAATCCAATGACGTAATATGTAGAACACTACCAAAGACAAGAGTACACTTTTTTTCTCGATTGTACACGGACTATTTTCCAGTTTAGATAATATGCTGCTCTGTAAAACAGGTCTCAATAAGTTTGAAAGGACAAGTCAAACTCCTCTCCAGTCAGGTAAATTTTTTACAAGTTTAGAAATACATGGAAGTTAACACTCCTACATAACCAGTGAGTCAAAGGAAATTAGAAGATTCTTTGAAATAAATTAAAAGATAAAATACCAAAATGGAATATAGGAAACAGTGCTTAAAGGGAAAATTGTAGTTGTAAAGACTAAAAAAACAACTCACTAACCTAGTATTCCATCACATACTAGAAAACAAATTAAACCCAAAGTAAAGGATAGGAAGGAAATACGGATGAAATAAAAAAATTGTAGAACAGAGAGTAAAAAAATTCAAAATCAAAACCAAAAATTGGTTCTTTGGAAAGATGAGCAATATTCATGAGTAGGCTGAAGGACCAGGAGGGGAAGCACTAAAGCCCGGAGCAAAGAGGGACACTGCTACCAAACTGATAGCATAAGGATTACTGTGGAGTACTGTGGACAGCTGCATGCCATTGAGTTAGATTACGTAGACTAAATGGGCAAATTCCTGGAGAGACAAAACGGAAGAAGAAAATAAGAGTAGATGTACAGCATGTAAAGAGATTGAATTCGTAATGGAGAAACAACCCCAGTGAAAGAACAGCCTAACCCAGATGGTTTTCACTGGTCAAGTCTGCTGAATACAGAGCCTGCCCCCAAAATGTGGATGCACTTCAGGAAAAGCAAAACGTATCCATATTTAGTACTAAGTTCACTGAGACGTGATATTAATACAAGTTACCTTTGGCCTCTCCAGTGGCAAGCGGTGCTCCAGGTGGTGCCCATGCTCTTCCAGACATTGATTAGTACGGCCAGCTGCTGCTTGGGCAGCCTTGGTCACTGGGATAGGTGCACAGGCATTTTCAGTTTCTTCCCTGGCAGTGTAGTGGGTTTTCTGTGATACACGGCATCCTGTAGGGTCCTCCATACTACGGTGACACCATCTGTTGAAGAAACACTATTTTTCTTTTCCTGCAGTGTGCTTTTTTTTTTTTTTGGCAGACTAAGAATTGATACCCACTTCTTCCTTTTCTGTGTTTCTATTTGTTTTTTGTTTTGTTTTGGGGGTACCAGGAATTGAACTCAGACCTTGCGCTTGCCAGGCAGGCGCAGTGCCACTGAGCTACATTCCCGGCCCTCTATTTTGTAAATAAGCAGTTTTGTTTGTTTCCAAAAAGTTCAACACTGTGAGTCCAGGATCATCCTGATATCAAAACCTGTCAAAGATATTTTTAAGGACTGCTTCAGAAAGTGTTAAATGGTTCTATTTGGTATATGAGATTAATCAAAATATACAGTAAATGATTGGGGATTTTTTTCCCCAGTTTATTACAGTAAAAGACATTAATTCTCAAAATATTTCCCCTTTCTTGGAACACACTTCATCCTGTGGTCCTCACCACTTTCTGATGTTCAGGAGTCTTCCCTAAATGTCTTTAAGGGGGTATGATTAAGAGTGCCGAGGCCAGGAATGTCCGAGTATCAATCCACCCCACCGCAGCCTGGCAAGGGGGTGGGTCTCTGTTCCCAGGGTTAAAGGCTTGATGTCTAGGATCAAGACTGCCCTCTGCTGGCGAGAACAGTTACACCATCCTGTGGCATCCGAACAGTCAGGGCTGGCTTCGGCCAGGGCCACTGTCAGGCACGTCAGTCTGACAGCAGGTGAACGTAGTGGTCATAGGACACATGAGTGCTGGGGTGGTGGGGAAATGCACTTCTCCACTGTTGGGCATCATGGCTTTGAAGAAGAGGGAGACCAAGACCTTGCCTTGGTTTTTCATGCCGTTGTGTCTGTGGTATTTAGATAATATTGAGTGGGGTCTGGCAGCTCCACCGGCTGAGTCGGAATAGGTAATTTAGGGTTTTCCTGGTGCATGTGTATGAACCAGGTCTGCCCCTAAGGTTTGGAGTGCAGTCCTGTTGGAGCACATACCCACTTGGTGAAGTTGTGTCCCGGTTGTAGAGTAAGACCCTGACAACGAACGTTTGAGTTGCCAATTTTCACAAGTGTACTGTAGAAGACTGTTGGCTCACAGTGAATTCAGTTTACAAACAGGTCTCCCAGAATGGAACTCGTTGGTGAGTCAGGGACTTGCAGAACAGCAGAACCTATTTGTACCCACACACATTAGTGGAATCAGCCTCTGACCCTAACCCTGCTGGTGAGAACAGGAGGAAGTCGCCATGTCAGGGGCCAGTTTGATTTAAAGACAGGCTCGCTCTGTAGTTCAGGCTGGCCTTCGACACCTCTAAGTCCCGCCTCAGGCTCTCAAGTGCTGGGGTCACCAGCGTGGTTGACTGTGACTGTCCAGACTGGACAATTCCACCAAGATTCATAACCCTGGCAATCTTTTGGGCAATGTGTTGATAACAGATTCAAACTTAGACTGCATCCAAGTGGCTTCCTCCCTGTCCTCATTTGTGAACTCATTAAAGTGCCCCCCCCCAAAGTTTTAAGTCCCTGAATATTGTCAAAATCGGGACAGAAAAAGGCCAGATCTACGTTTTGGTGTAAAATAGAGAAGCTTTTCCCAGGAAGCACAATATGGAGTTAAATATGCCTTTTAACAGAAGTTTACTAGAAACTTTCCCCTGAAGTGGACGTAGGTGTCTGGATTCCACAGGCGCTGTCCCAGCAGCAGCAAGCAAGACTCAGTCGGGAAGTGGGGTCCTTTTTGACGGATACTGGGCTGTTTGAGCGCAATCATCCGCAGGCGCGGGGAAAGCAGGGACATCGGCTGGATCCTGCAGCCTTGGAGGCTGCTCCGTGCTGAGGAGAAATATGTATGTCAGGGGATAAAACCTTCAGCTATTAGCAGTACATGGTGTTTGGTGCATTCCTGCCAGTCTTCACGAATTAAATAATTCCCATGCTTCATTAAAAATTACAGAGGACAATGAGGAAAAATTCCCCGTTTCCACGTCTAGTTTAACGCAGTCCCTGTCACTCTTAGAATAACTGGCTCTGCACCACCTGCCGACGTGAGTGCCCCTCCTGCCTCCTCACACACATCCTGCTTCATGTGCTGCTTGGTGCCTCGATCCCTGAGCACTGGCTTTCAGGCAAGAAAACACCACCGACAAGCTTGGCCATGTTTATTAGGAAAGGTGGGGTGGTCAGGGTGAGAGCAGGGTTTCCAGGCCTTGGCGCGGGCAGCAGTTTGTCCTCAGTCAGGATACTCCAGTCTTGGCTCAACCAAAGAGAGTCAGGACCCCCTGGAAAAGAAGCCAAGCGTGAGTGTGCCCCTCTCTGCCACCCAAGGGAGCTGAGGCGGGGCCCTCATTCTGACTGCCCGGGGTCACTGAGACTGGAGGGAAGGCCCTGGTCCTGGTCCCGGGCCACACTGCCAGTGGGTGGAGCGGATCCTGGCACCAGTGCCACAGCCCACGGGCCGCCCCTGTGAGAGGTGCACCCCCGACTCCACAGCCGCCCTGCAATTCAGATATGGTCAACCCCATCCACAGCCAAAGCCCCCTAGCTGCTCCCGGGGTGGGCTTAGTGGACAAGAGCAGCTCTCCCTGCCTGGGGCTGGGATGGCCAGGGGGGACATCCACGCGGCGGGGCTGGAGGTGCTGTTACCAGCAGCGTCTTCACGGCTCCGACAGCCTCAGGACCCAGCTCCGTGACACACTTCCGAGAACCCTCTATGAGGTGCTCCACCGGGATGCCCAGGCTGGCGAGCATGAACTTCAGGGGGTTGAAGGGCAAAGGGAGGCTGGGCATAGCCCCAGCCACGGCCCCTGCAGCAGGGGCCAGGGCAGCTATGGGTTCAGCCACCGGCTTAGGCAGGGACTCCACGAAGAAGGCATCACCTGCCGACACACAGGAGGGGAGAGTCACACACCTGCATTCAGGGCAGCCCCATTCCCTCCAGGAGGATGTGGCATGGCCTGCATCACCCACCTGGCCCTCACTGACGGCTGCCCCGTGGAGAGTCGGGCCAGAGGGGAGAGGCAGCACAGAAGCAGAGCCTTGGGCCCGTGAGAAGGCTGCAGAGGCCAGAGGAGGCGCCCTGGGGCCGCAGGAAGGGGAAGCTGATCTTTGTGCAGGCTGGAGGGCAGGTTTCAAAAGAGGCATGTTCACTGTGCCTTGAAGAGTGAGTGGGCCCTCAGCAGGAAGAGATGCGGGTGGTCGCACAGCAGTGCTGCACGGGCGTGGGGGTGAGAAGCTGAGGGCACAGGCCGGGCTGATCCCAGAGAGCCCGAAGGGCCGCAGGAAGGAGAGGGACCAGGAGCCTTTGAGGGGTCCCCAGAGTTGAAGCTGCAAGGACCACACCTGGTGCCCAGGGTTCGGCGGCCCCAGGCTGGCATCAGCAGGAGAAGGAGCTGGGGAAGAGCAGGGCTGATGGCAGCTGCCTCCAGGAGCAAGGCCATGGGAGCACTCACCGAAATGGCTGAGCAGAGCCAGGCAGAGCACCAGAAAGGCGGTGGCGAGCTTCATGGCAGAGTGGGACTCGGCGGATGCTCTCAGGACCTAAGGCAAACGTCCAGAGCCTGACCCAGAAGCCTTCATATACCCAGGGCCGGGGCCTCCCCCTGTCTTCTGAGGAATGCGTTATTTGCTCAGCTAACAGGCAGAGCCCAGCCAACTTCCTGCTCTGGCCGGTGGGGCCTGGGAAGCTTGCTCCCTCATCCCTCCTGGGTCTAGGTTTCCTCTTGGCAGTGTCTCCTGGGCCCAAGGGCAGAGACTGAGGCTGTGCTTTGTCTCACAAGGCCCAACTGGGCCAGCACTCACTGTGGTCTGACCCCACCTGACCCTTACAACAGTGTAGGCTCCAGGCGCCAGCCCAGGTAGGGAACAGGGAAGGAGGTGCTGGGCAATAAGCACACATCCCAGGGCCGGGAGCTGTCAGAGCACAGTGGGAACCGGCAGGTCTCTCTGGCCCCAGCACCTCCCTTGACTGAGGTGGGTGTGCATGGAAATATCATGCAGCAGGGGTCCTCATGGCTTCAGCTCCTGGGGGAAGCCAGAGTGGCTGAGGCACCAGATGAGGAAACCAGGTACCTTCCCAAGGTGATCAGGCCTCACTCCTGGCCACCTCCTTTGTTGGGCCACTGGCAGCCACTGATGCAAGCAGAAGGGCCTGGGACATTGTTCTTTTAAATTAGCCTTGAAGCTGATAAATGGGCCTAGCATGTTTTAGACTTTCTCTTAAAAGACCTCATCCGTTAGTCACTTGCGGACATATGATAAATGGAAGGCAAAACATACTGATCTCACTAAAACAGGCCCATTGGTAGGAAGAACTGACTTCAGGGATCTGCGGACGGTTTGCCATAGTACAGAAGCATGCTATGACACTTGCGTGCTGTGGTCACTGGCCAGATCCACCTGTGGACGGCTTGTGGCTTGTTAACACTTGACCACGTGTGAACTCCATATTGTATCTACCTGATTCTCATACTTTTCTTTGACTATTTTGTCTGGGAGACTTTGCTTTATAAACCTGGAGTTTGACCTGTATGTTCTGTTGGTCATCGTGGAAGAAATGCTGCTCATGAGCGAGGGCAAGACCATCTGTGTTACTTGGGCAGAGTGGGCCACACCCACCATCCAGGGGGCATTTGCCAAAGGGACACTGTCCTGACTAGGTCCTCTTGAAAGCCAGAATCAGGTGGCGCATTTACAGGGTCCCACGTTATCCACGGTTTTGCTATCTGTGGGCAACTTGGTCTGAAAATACTAAATGGAAAATACTGCAAGTTTTAAGTTGCTTACCTTCTGGGTAGGACACATTTTTTCTTTATTAAGTCAAGAACTTCTACCTTTTTCTTAAAAGGAAGCTTACTTTGCAGCTTCTCTTTGGCATGTCCAAATTATCAACATCACTAGTCCTGTGCTTTGGGATGATTATAAATAAAATAAGGGTTATTTGAATGCAAGCCCTGCGATCTGCGGCAGTGGATCTGATAACCAAGCCGCTACTAAGTGACCAGTGGGCAGGCAGTGCACATGGTGTGGATGCACTGGACGAAGGGGTGACTCAAGACCAGCCAGGACAGGGCCAGACAGTGCAGTGTCCTCACAGCACTCAGCATGGCATGCGATTGAAAACTTATGAATTGTCTATCTCTGGAATTTTCCATTTAATATCTTCTGGTCCCTGGTTGACTACAGGTAACTGCAACCATGGACACAGAACCTCAGTTAAGAGAAAAATACTGTATGTCCCAAAGCGGGATTGCTTACGGTCGTTCCGCTCCTAGTTTTTTGAGGAATCGCCATCTGATTTCCCACAGCAGCTGCACCATTTGCACCAGTAGTGCGAGGGACTCCCCTTTTCCACGTCCTCGGCAGTCATTGTTCCTGGGGGATTCTGTGGCCTTGGGCCCCTGCCTGGATCAGGTGGCTCTTGGGCGCTGACCTGGGGCTCACCTTGCACCATGTGGACCGAGGAGGAGGGCACGACCTGAGCCATGGCAGCGCCAGCAGTCTGACTCAGCACTCCTGCCCCAGCATTTCTGTGGGCTCCTCGTACCCTTTGCTGGCATTCTTTATCTTTTTTTTTTTTTTTTCCTTTTCTACTGTGGATTGAACTCGGAACCTTGCGCTTGCGAGGCAGGCACTGGAGCCCCTGAGCTAAATCCCCGGCCCTGGTATTTTTTATCTTTAAAACAAGCTCCATGGGTCTGGGGACATGGCTGACTGGTAGAATACTTGCCTAACATGACTGAGGCCCTGTGTTCAATCTCCAGCACTTTGAAAAACCAGTGTGAAGAAACAAAAACTGACCGACAAACAGCCCCTGTCCACCTGTCTGGTGTGTGTGGTTTGAGTGAATCTGCCTGTCATCCCAGGAGCCTCCAGTTTGACCGCAGGTCTCCTTCCCATGTGCCTAAGTTTCCCAATTCCCAAAACAGACCCCACAGCTACCCAGTGAAGTGTGCCATCGTGCCCCCTTTCACTTCTGAGGGGGCTGAGGGACTTGCCCCAGCCTTCCCAGTGGGCATGGTCAAGGCCAGAGTGTTTAGGCCAGGCCCCCTTCAGCCCACAGCAGCCTCAGAGCCTCCCCAGGTGAGCCGTCCACGGAGCTGGGCAGTGGGGATGGCTCAGTCCTGCCCACATGGTGGGGTGAGCAGAGGTCTCCGGATTAGCTTCCTGAGGCTTCTCTAACTAATCATCACATGCTTGGTGGCTGGAAACAACACATTTATTTGCTCACAGTTCTGAAGTCCATAAGTCCCGCATTGCTGGGGTGTGAGCAAGGTATCTGCAGGACCGAACTTCCTCTGGGTGCTCTGTGAGCTAATGCAGTCCCACCTCTTCCAGCTTCTGGTGGCTGCTGGCATCCCTTGGCTTGTGGCCACGTTGCTCAGTCTCTGCCTTCATGATCATGTTGTCACTCCTCCCTCCCCTCCCCACTTCCTCTTGCTCCGTTCCCCTTCCCTGACCTCTCTTCCTTCCTTCCCTCTCCTCCCTTTCTCTCCCTCTCCCTGTCTCTTTCTCTCCCTCCCTCCCTCTCTCCCTCCCCTGTCCTCTGTCTCTGTCTGTCCGTCTGCCTGTCTGTCTCTCTCTGTCTCTGGAATCTCCCTGCTTCCTTTTCATTCCATTGCCTCAACAGTCCAAGGGAATCTTATCACACTGCCAAGATTCTTTTTTCATATAGTCACATCAAAAGTCTCCAGGAACTAGGGCCAGCTAGATTTTCGAGGATACGCCACCCTCCCCTTCTGCATTGCCCTTCAGTGGCCAGGTGAGTCAAGGGTCTCCAGAGGGTTCCAGGGTGGTGATGGCTGTCAGCACCCAGCCTGGGTCTTTGGTCCACTCCTGCAGGCCTGCCTCCTGTGGCAGAAGGGTGGCCCCAGCCCTGGGAAAGGCTTGGCACCTTCTGCTGCTGATGCATTCAGCCTGTCCCAGGCAGTGTTTGCAGGGAATCCTTTGGGCCAAGACAAATATTCACACCTCACCTCACCCTCTGGGGATGCAGGAAGTGCTGGAGGTAAATGACTTTGGCAGTCTGGGCACGGGCCAAATGTCCGATCGGAGCTGTGAAAGGACCGTGGAGCTCTTGGAGCTGACGCTCCGCCAATGGGATCCTGCAGCAGGGTAGCCATGAGGAAGGTGCCCGCTTGCTCTGCCTGGCCCTCCGTCCTGGCTCTTGGCACGTGGTCCATGCGGCGTTCTGAGTGCTGGGACTTCGGCAGCAAGGCAGCAGGTGCTCAGGAGCCATGGAGGTGCCCAGCCAGCTGCAGTGGACTTGTTTGCACCTTTGAAACCCACCGACCGACCTCCTGTTTGCAAAGCCCCCCACGGCCTGGCGATGCTCCCCACATTGGGATCGTTGTCCGGGGTCCCCACTCCCAGGCTGCATCCCCAGCCCCACAGCCCCTGTCAGGTGTGCCCACCCTGGCCCTGGTGTGCAGCTGCCATGGGCATGTGGGCATGGACCTTAGGCTCCCAGGTCCGGGCTGCCCCACACAGCAGCCCTGGGAGCTGAGGGGATCTCTTGAGGTCCCAGAGGCCCACTTGTTCTGTTCTTTCCCTTTGTGTCACACCAGCACCTCTGTTTTCAGACTGGCCACTGAGAAGCCGTCTCTGCTATCCGCACAGAACAGGGTTAGACAAACTGGGGAGGATGCCAGGCCCCCCGTGCCCCTTTTGGGAGCAGCATGGCCACTCAGGGTGGGTGGCACAGCCTCCCGGACCTGCAAACCAGGCATCGCCGTGACTTCGCCATGGGAGATGAGTGCGGCGCTCACTGCCACCCGCTCTTGCCACGGCCACTCAGTGACGTGTTGTCTCATGGAGTCCAGTTGCGGGTGACACAGGTGTAGGATTTTAGGCTGTTCTTGTGTAAGCTGCCCGTTTCCCTCTCGAGCCAATGCCTGCGCAGCTCGCAAACAGGCGCTTCCTGACCTCTGCCCCCTGCCCGCGAGGAGCGCTCAGCCAGCACCTCACTCCCCGTCGAGATCCTGGGCCCTCCCCACAGAGCCTCCTGGACGAAGCCAGCCTTTGAAGCCCCTGGCCAGTGCAGCCCTCCGTTCCTTCCAGGGATGCCCTGGTGTGCCCCCCGGCTCAAAGGCACCCCCTGTCTCCCGCCTGAGTGGTCACCACAAGGACAGGTGAGAACCGGGTGCACGGACACTGGAGCGGGGCCCTGGCTTTCTGTAGACCAGGCACAGGCGGCCGCAGGAGCAGCAGATGGGGATGGCGCGGGCTGCGCTGCTCTCCCAGACCCGTGCCCCCCCCCCCCGCGCCCAGGTGTGGCGCCTGCTCTGCCAGCACGCACACCTTGGGCCCCTTCCTCGTAGCTCAGCTCCTGGCACTGGGCTCGGGGGGGGGGCGGTCTCTGGCAGGCCGTCCCCACTCCCAGGGCCTGCACCATGGCCAGTATTGATCTGGCTCTCTCAAGCACTTCCTTTCTGCCTTTCCATGCCCAGGCCTCCTCCCTGCAGGGCCCCCGCGGTGGAGAGGGCAAGAGGAGATCGTTGCCATGGTTCTCGCTCTGTGAGCTCAGGGCACTGGTGAAGTGACCGAAAGCTGACCCATGGGCTTTGGCAGTGATTGAGGTTTCAAGGGTGGCTCGCCTTCCAGCAAAGCTTGACTGAGCCTCAGATGCTGTCAGTCACTCTCGGCTCCC